AACCACCAACAATGGCGTGCAGAGACCACTCGGCCTTAGCGCTGTCGGCATCTATTTAACATGGTCAGTTTTAATTAGTATGTAAATTAAATTTAAAATTATTTAGCTAAATTTAATTGTGCCATTAGTTTGTCAACACTTACTGGCGGTGTACTCAATATCGATGGTAACCTCCTTTCCCTTGTGGAGAGTGCAGGGACTGGTTGTGCAGCCAGTGATGGCAACGTTGGTTACCTCAGAGTGTCCTGTCGTAAGGTATAAACATTAAGGTTAGTTATTGTTGTAATAAAATGAACATGTTATATATTAAATATACCGCAATCCTTGAATGGGATGCCGGCTGAAGCGGCGACGATCAAAACGGCTAAACACACAAATTTCAACATGGTTATTTTTCACTAAAATTATTTCTAATTTTACTTAAAAAATAATATTTCTGAAAGTGATTTGTAAGTAGCAATTGTAGCGATATTTATACTATACCAGGCTCAATTAGCCAACAATTGCGACACATGTTAAAACAATTGACTAGAGATAAAATTTGTTATTGAATTTCAGGGCACTTGAAGCCGGTTGAAATAATCATTAAGGTGTATTTGGTTTATCAGCAAAATTTGCTTTCAATTGTATTTGAAATAACCAAGGTGTCCCAGTTAAAATATCATCATATTATTCTTATTTTAAGATATCCCTCCTTATATTAATTTAGTATTATTATACCCAATGACCCGGATCAGATTTGGTTAAATTGTATATTATTTTTGCCTAACCCATAAGGGAAAATTTACCCAGCTGAGTATTTTAGTATGTGATGTACTAAAGCTATTTGCGTTTTTAATTTATCATTAAGATATTAATTGTCACTTAAATAGGATTTATAATAAAATTATTGTATCTTGATTTTATCTCAATTAACTGTTCTTGAAAGTATATCAAATGAACCTTGGATATAACCACTTGTGATACAATATAAATGTATAATTGTCTAATGTGTACCATGTTGACTAAAGTATATTTAATTTTAATTTCTGTATAATTGTACTTTTAATCCACGTACCTTACGGCCAACAATAATACATACCTAGAAATAGACCAACCAGTTTAATTGTACTAGTTTATAAATGTTATCTATGTGATTTATCAACCAACAATATTTTAAGTAATTGTTGCAATGTTGTTTGTTAATACATAAGAATTTTATTTGAGTTTTATACTTAATATTTGTTAACCAGTTATTTATATATAGAGTTAAAATTAATTACTTTAAATTATTTTAAAAGTTAATTAAATATTTTACAAATAATTTAAGGATGTAAGTAAACTGAAATAATTAAATGTTTATTCGTGATTATTTTGATATTATCATAACAGATAACAATACAAATATTGTAGTCAGCTGGCTTTTTATACAATGTAAAGGATATGCAATAAATGTTGCTTGTTGAATGTAAACTTATAAATTTGATCATTTTGTAAGAAAAAAATATTTATTTATTTATTTTATAATTAAGTAAAAGAATTAATAACATTTAAAATCGGTATACACTAAAATAACGAAGCTATAATTTATTCTTCAAAGGGGTTTACGCCATAAGTTTCTGTTAATTTATAATTAAATTTTATATAACAATTTTATGTGTTTTACTTACAGTTTTTAGTAATTTTGATATATTACTAATATGTTTAAAATAAATAATATAAGTTATATCACATTACACTACAGTGTATAGTGTTTATAATTACTTATTTATTAGACAATAATAGTATAATTATTTACAATTTTATTGTTATTAATTATGAATAAATGATTACAAATAATAAATAATATAATTATATTTTATTCCTGTGTCTCACATTATTTTGAAACTTTCTTTGTTCAAACAATTTATTTGTTTTATTATAATTAAATCTAAATTTATTGATTAAATATTGTTTAAACATATTATTGCTATTATTATTAGCTTTTAACTGCATATTAATAACATAAAACTTTTTACATGTACTAAACATATGGGACACAAAGTGTGGAAACATAACAATTGAAAACCCAAACCATAAGCTTATAATACTGGCCAAAAGGCACAGGTATTCAACAAATGAAAACTTTAATGATATCTCGTAGACAGTAGTGGGCTCTGACGGGAATCTTACATCTACAACAAATTGACCCGGCTTATTATCATTAACTAGCTCATATTCAACGGCGTAATAATCTTGGTTACATTCAATACGGTCGCAGCATTCGTGCTCGCATTCCTGTACATACATAGTACCTACCGAGCCGTTAAAACGTAACCATTTACCACCATGATAATAGTCGTGAAATATTTGATATTCCTCTGGTAGGGAGCTATGATTATGGTAAAACCGCCTCAGCTTACACTCTAGCTCACACTCTTCTCGAGTGGTGTTGCGAAAGCAGCGGGTGTTGACTATACTGTTGTCCATATACTTGATGGTGGTTTTACGGTATCTGAGATGACATGTGCCTCCGTTGCTAATGTTGAGTGCGATTACCTCTCGTCGATTGTATTCCCGTTTGCGGTCCGCCCGGGAAAACATTTGCAGGTATAGGATATTGTCGGTTATGATAGACTTGTTTCGTACCGCAAATTGCATGAAATGCTCAGAATTAATCCGTCTCTCGTTTACCACATAACTAGGGTTAACACAAGTATTTCATAAATATGTAAATATTAAAATGATTATAATATTATGTTATAATTAATTAAAATAAACTAATTTAATTAGCTTTATAATAAGTTTTTTTTAAACAAAACTTAGCTGTGTACAAAATATTGTTCCTAACCAAAGGTAAAAATATATTTCATATAACATTCCGGTTAGTATTAGTAATTTAATAATTAATAACGGTTCAATACTTACTTATCATCAGGCTGACCATGCCACTGCGAAAATAGCGTAACGCATGCATATTTGCCAGATAGTGATGCTTGAAATTTTGTTGGATTACACTGTGTAAAGTTGCCCGTTGAGTCTACTACTGTACAGTTAAAAACTTGGACAATCGGAATAAGCGAATTCAATTGATCGTTAAATGATTGTTGATTAAATGTTGCCAAATTAATCTTGGTGCTTTTATTTTTGATAACATTTATTTTCTCCACGCATACAATAAGCGCCGGTAGTTTTAGGCACTCTTTGGACTCGAACCGTACATTAGTAGTGGTTTCGTACGTGAAATACAATTCACTTAATTTATACGTTTGGTATAAACAGCCCGTAAGGCATAATAATTGGCAAATTGTATTAAATGCCGTTTTGTTACATATTGTAACCATGTTTTTATGTGTTAAAAAACACAAGTACTTTTTATATAACACTTGTAAGAATTTTATTTATTATAAATTATTTAACTTATTACAAGTGATAGTAAATATTTATAACCAAATGGTAAATAGTTATTTGTATTGTATAAGTTATATAATACAAATATTTTACCAAATAAAATGTTTACAAAGTGTTAAGCAAAGTGTCAAGCAACACCATTATATTTATTAATAATACTTATGTTTTAGATTAATGTGACTACATTAATACAAGTATAATAATAAGTATGTTAATTATTAAATACAATTTGAAAAATAAATATTTTGAATATTGCATAAGATATTTATGGATATTGTAATTATTGTTGTGCATTTGTAATAAGATTTTGCTTTATTTTTATACAGGTTACTATATTTAATATGCAATAAATTAATATAAACACGAATATCGAATATTTTTATTACTATAAAGAAATTTTTAATGATTTACATAATTATTCAGTACAATAAAAATTTATACATTATGTACTAAAATATATGGGTATAATATACTGTATTATGAGTTATAACTTTATTTAAAACTTGTTTGCACTAAAATATTGATTTAACAATGGTCGCAAGATCGGTAAATATAAACAATAAATTTGGTTAAATATAATATTATAATTAGTACGTTATAAATATTTTTATTTTTATTAAACATAGTAGTAATAAACCGATATTATTAACATAATAAGGATATTGTTATAAATAATATGTGAATAGTAATCAATAGTAATTATACGTCATTTAATATTATAATTATGCAATTTTATGTAATAATTATTATGTTTTATTTTAAATATAGTAATTTTAAAATTATTGTGGTTTACAATAAGTTAATTATTTTATGTTTGATAATATGTAACAATTAGGCCTCAAATGATTTTCATATTATTTAATATCTTTTGAGAAATATGTTTATTAAACAATATTGAAATTTAAAGTTAATATAACATAAGTTTAATAAAAATTACATAAGTGTACATTTTAAAACATATCAATATTGTTAAAAATTAATTTTACAACATAAGATATCTAAAATATATTATTATTTATACAATTAAAAATAATGCCACAATTATTTATTTTATGTTCATTAATTTATTTAACAATAATTGTTATTTAAATTATTCTTACTATTATTTACAACATTCTCCCTTTTTTGAAATAATTTTTGTGTTTTGTTATATTTAAAGCTTAATTTATTAGAAAAATAATTTTTGAAAATATGATTATTGTGATTAATAACAGCTAATTGAATATTTTTTGCCCAAAACTCTTTACATGTACTAAACATATGAGATATGAAATGTGTAAACAGTATAATTGAAAACCCAAACCATAGGCTCATAATACTGGCCAAAAGGCACAGGTATTCAACAAACGAGAATTTTAACGATATCTCATAAACAGTGGTGGGCTCTGACGGGAATTTAATATCTATGGTAAACTGACCAGGTTTATTATCATTAATCACATGATATTCAGCAGCGTAATAATCTTGGTGACAATCTAGCTGGTTGCAACATTCATTCTCGCATTCCGACACATATAAATTGCCTACAGATCCATTAAAATAAAGTAATTTATCATGATAATAATAATCTCTATATATGGCAAATTCTATGGGTAAAGATCCATGCTCATGATAATATCGCCTAATTCTACATTCAATCTCACACTCGTCTCGATTTGTATTGTGAAAGCACCGGTTGTTACTCATACTGTCGTACCTCATATACCTGATCGATGTTTTCCGGTACCTGACATGACATGTGCCGCCACTACTAATGTTGAGTTTCGTAACCTCTCGCCTATTGTACACCCGTTTGCGTTGGTCTCTGCCATGCATTTGAATGTATACTATATTGTCGGATGTTCGCCATATACCTGATCGATGTTTTCCGGTACCTGACATGACATGTGCCGCTACTACTAATATTTAGTGTCATAACCTCTCGCCTATTGTACGCACGTTTGCGTTGGTCTCTGCCGTGTATTTGAATGTATACTATATTGTCGGCAATAATAGACTTGTTTTGGGCTTCAAATCGCATGAAATGCTCAAAATTACTGCGCTTTTCGTTCACCACATATCTGTTGTAGAGTTACCAGATGTATTTTTAAAAAATAAAAAAATTAATTGATTAATTATACTAATATTTCTTTATACAGTATATCTAGAGTTTTCATAGCCATTAAATTCAAATTTAATAATTAATAATTCAACTCATGAGTTCAAAATATTATAATTTTATTTTTACAGTTTTACAGCAACATACTTGTCATCAGACTCTCCATTCCACTGTGAAAATAGCGTAACGCACCCAACCAGGCCAGATGTCGAACGCTGTAATGTGGTCACTCTATCGCACGGTATAAAATTGCCCGTAGAGTTAAGGACTTCACATTTGAACACCCCTTCCACCGGAATTACAGAAT